TTAATCGCATTCTTATCTAAAATTCCTAATTTATCGAGAGTGTTATTTTGTTTTTGTTTTGGCCGCTAGCTTTCCTAACTGGATTGGACTTCCTATGGTTTTTATTTTAATTTTAAGGGCTGAATGCATTTTTGCATTCATTTGAAACCAAATGCTGCTTTTGGTTTGCTTGTAAGCTTTCAAAAGCTTTATCACGAAAAATATATGCAGTCTTTTTGAGCCCAAGAAGCGATCATATGAAAGGCTAAAGACGAAGTTAATTTGATTTTATGCCCTCTGGGTTCTTGGTTCTATTTTGAGTTCTGAGGCTTCAGAGCATGAGATGCTATCGAAACCAATATAAGCTTTAGATTAAGCTTTCGTTTTTATGCTCTATGAATAAAGAGAAAGATCACGGATCAGGAGCTATGGCGCACGCTATAGTCGATTGGTTAAAGTCGCATACTATTTATCACTCAATAGAACAAAAGTTTGGTGTAAGGTAAAGTAGCGTTCAAACGTTAGAAAAAGTTTATCTATACGCGATGGCCCATGAACGTAAAATTGAATAAGGAAAAATGAATTAGCAACACGAGTTTACGGGGTGTGCATCTTTGCACATCGATGACGCGGGTTCGACCCCTTGTGAAAGTCTAGAAAAAAGAAGTCTGATGAGGAGATGTGGTGATCTTCGAAATAGCTGCTATAACGTCCAACTTTTAGACTTTGTTGCTTTTTCCATTTTTTCTAATAAAATAATCATGGTACAAAGCTCAATAAAAATATGAAAAGTAAAATTGTAGGTTTGTGAGCGCCATATCTTTTTTAAGGTCGCTTAAGTTATTTTCTGGATGCGGAAAACCCATAACCATCTAACTTTTATAGACCTGATAAAAATGAAATCCTAATTGTTGCTTCTTTGAAAAAAATCGAAAAATTTTAAACATTTAATATTAGGATACCTTAGCTAACAAACATCACGCTGCTGTATTCATATATCATATAGACAAACTCTTTCCGTCTGACTTTTTAACCGACTTCAAAAAAAGGAGGAGGTTACCAATTCGTCGGAATATTTTTGTATGTATGTGGCCGCATAACTTTGGACTGCGTTAACCGATTCCTATAATTTTGAGTTGGTCCCATACTAATTTGGTTTAGATATTTCTCTAAAACAGAGTTCCCCAAACTTTTTTTTCTCGTAGACCCCTTTCGAAAATTTACTGGCTTCGGTGGACCCCCTGCTGATACATTTCTAAATATTTCCAAAGCTCGTAAAAAAATTAAATGTGAAAATTAGATCTAACAAGGTAAATTTGCATCGCGGGTGAATTCAAAAACTAAACTCAGAGTGGCCAAAATAAAAGTAAAATATTTTCATGTGTTCTATTTATAAAAATAATGTGATTACCCACTTGTAGGTTTTAAAAAAAGAGAGCCCGTAAATACATAAAAATACTCTCTCACTCGGAAGAGTTATATTTTTTAAGACCAAAAATGTTCGGTTCACTCATGACTTTGCGCGTGGAGTATATGTAAAATAGTTTATTTGTGTTAATGGCATCATTTTTATTTTTATCGCTGCTAGTTTTAAAGTGAGGCGAAAAATATTTATCACGTATTTAAAACACAAAACTTTTAATTCAGAAACCAAATAACCAAGCAAGCAAGAAGTACAAAAAGTGTTCCACCGTCTCATCTTCTTCAAGGCAAGATGGGCAAATGGACTTGTCATTTACGCCTATCACAGTCAGATGTTTGTGCCTGGTGAAGTGACCAGTCAGCAGTTCAGCAAGTTGTCTGCAGTGTCGTCCGCTCAGTGAGAGCAAAAAATTAGATAGACCTTGTGAGATTAAAGGCAACATGAGTTTTGCCCACCTGCATCCCTTCGATGCCTCTTCTCGTCGTTTCTGAGCGAAGTATTCACCCAGTTTCTGATGGTGGCTTCGATTGCCGAACGTGAGAGTGCTAAAACTGATGGCGGACCGAGGAATGCCTAGTCTGAGCAAACTCTGGCCAAATGATCAGATGTCACATAACCAGGTACTCCAGAGTGACCTGGCACCCAGAGTAAAACAACCTCGTTATGTTCACCATCATATTTTAGTCGAGACTTGCATTGTCGAACTAGTTTGGAAGTACTTAAATAGAGGGCTGGCCAATGCCTTAAGTGCAGCTTGGTTGTCACTACAGACACGTAAACTCCTTCCCATCCACCTATGTTCCACCACGTAGTCCATGGCTTTGAATATTGCAATTATCTCAGCCTGGAAGAGCGAAGCATATTCCCCAACAGAAAAGTGATGCTTATCTGCGTTAAGTTCGAAAAAGACCCGGGATCATGACCCAGAGTCAGTTTTGGAGCCATCAGTGAAGATTCGAATCATGTGAGTACGGTCTCAGTGATGGAGTTAAACCAGCATTCAGTCTCAGGGAACTCAAAATTATAGAATCTCTTCAACAAAGGTAATGGTGGTGTAATATCCTGTAGCAATGAAAAGACACAAGTGCTTAAATCTCTGTCGCCAGCAATTTTCGCCGCGCCCCACTCATTGTCATACCAGCATCCGGTTATTTTTAGTCTGCAGGTGGCCTTTAAGGTTTCCCCACGTATGAACACAAAGTGACGGTAAGTGCAGCACTGCGTCAAGAGCACTATATACCACTAAAAAAATTAAAGTTAATTAAAGAGGCTATCAAGCAACCAATTTGGTTCTTTGCATCAAAACCAGATAAATTTTCGTGGACCCCCATTTACAACTCATGGACCCCCATATTTTGTTCACGTCACCGTGGATCCCCGTCGAGTAGTGGAGGTCCACCTGGACCACTTTGGGAATCACTGCTCTAAAACGTAAAGAACTTGGTACATTATTTTCGAGTTGTTCTAACAAGCTTGCATTTCAACTCCTACGATAAAATTAATAATAAATAAATGGGTGTGAAACCTGATTTTTTATTTAAAGTGGCGGTTTTATTTTTTCTCTCTGATGTCAGGATTTATTTTAAGGGACTTTGATATGATTAGTTCAAAAATTTATTTAAAAAATTCAATGCAATGTATAATCAAAATATGTGTACCAAATGAAAGAGGAAATTTCTTTAGAATTAAAAAAAATAAAATTTTTTGGATTCACAAGGACGAATAGACAAATTTCTATGCTGATAAAGTTAGAAGGACGAATTTCTAGGATTTTATCGAGTTTATATAAGTCCTTAACATATAATTTTTTCAAAAACATATGTATATTGCGAAATTTCAAGGACAAAAATTTTAAAGAACATTTTAAATACTTACCAGTCCTTATGCACCAAAAACTCAAATCTGTTTGAATTCTACAGGATTTCCTCTTTACTTGGATACACATACTTCTTCTCTAAGCACATTTACTGACGTCAGAGTGAAAAACTAATTATCAAATAAAAAAATGAAATATTGCCAATACTGGTCAAGAAACTGTCATCCGTGCAAATTAAAAAACCCAAAAATCCCGGGATTATTTGCCAACGACTTTTGGGACCTAAAAAAGGCCGGGATCGCGGGATTAACATTTAACATTCCTAGCATGATAAAAACATTACAAGGTAAATTCATTCTTTCAATTCGTCGGACATGATTTTTTTCTGACGTTTGCCAACATTTTAAAATCATATAAAATTGAAAATAAAAAAANTCGTTAGTAAGTCTATTCATGATGAAATGTCAAAGCATACTGAGCATCTTTCTCTTTGACACCATGTCTGAAATCCCACGTGATCTGTCAAATACTAATGCATGAAAATCCTAACCTCAAAAAAATCACCCGTTATATATAATAAAATTTAGACAGCAATTTCTTCATAGAATATCAATACATTTTTCACTTCTGCCAACAGCCAGTTTCAGGAAAGTAATTTAAGTGAAGAAAGATTTTTTGTATTTAAATTTAATGTGCAAACTGACAGAAAGAAAATAATACTTTTGCACTGAAATTACTGATGAAAGTGGCAGTAAGAGATTGTTTCAGAAGTATAAAAATATTTTTTTCTGTCAAATTTTGCGGCAAAGTAAGAGTCCAAATCGGTTGGAGACTCTTGTCTTTCATCTAGATTAAATATCGCAGGTTAATATTCAGGGCTTAAGCTTATAAGGGAAATCTCAGGAAGGTAAACCACTTTAGAAAAGTATAGTACCTAATAGATGAAATTTTTGGATAGAAAAAATTAAGTTTGCATTTCATGAGCTGTTTTTATACTCGTATGAAACCTTTATTTGTAAAGGTTTACTTTTGCTTTCTCCCTAATTGCCGGTTTTGATGACGTTTTGTAAAGCCTTTTCGAAAAAGTAAAAATACCTCCTTAATATAGATATTAATGGGTTAAAATTTGTGAAAAAAGTGCTAGCAAGGTTTAAATTCGTGTTTCTGAAAAAATGATTTCCGAATTTATTAGAAATCGTTTTTGACTATTGCTGGGACTAACCGTGTATTCGGATATCCGAATATTCGTGTATACGGATCAAATCCGGATATCCGTTCTATTTTTTATTCGGTTGTTCGGTTAATATCCTTTACTTTGCTCTAGGGATATCCGATTACTATCTCTTATATTTTTTATACAAATATCCTGTTAAAATCCGTTTATTTTGCTCTCTTAATGTCCGGATAAAACCCGTTGAATTTGCTATCCATATATTCGGTTAAACTCCGTTCATTTTATTTCCCGAATATTCGGTTAATATCCGAATATCCGGATGTTCAAAAAATTCGGGTAGAACTCCCAGTTCTTATTTAGACATGAAGCGTTTTCATAGTCAAAATAAAGTCGACTCTAAAGTTAGTTGCAGCGAAAAAATTTTGTAGTGTGGTAGAGCAAAACCGTCATAATCCTTAGAAAAAAGAAATTTATGGATTACTCAGATTTGAATTCTGCCAGCTTTGAGTATAAAATGCATTCACACATTTATTGTTTTTACAAAATGCCAGTGTGAATTTGTGAAATTATTCGAAATAAAACTGTAGTTAATAAAAGTAAGTACTTACTGCTTATACGTACAATTATCTAAATGTGTCTGCGTTGCGGCTAATGTTAGTTAAAGTTGCTAAAATGATGCTAATTCGTCGGTGCTAAGATTTTGTGGGTTTTTACTTTGCAGTCTCCAGCAGTTATGTGGGGTATTTAGTATGAATTTGATTGCAGTTGTTGTTCTTTACTTTCCCTAGTTTATTTGTAGTGTAGACGAGGGTACTTTTTTATTGGTTTTAAACACTTTTATTATCTTTTTATTACACTTTTTTTTAGTTTTTTACTTTTAAACTAAATTTTACTAGTAACTGTGGGTTTTCTGCGGCGGCAACTAATTGGTGGGCTTTTTCTACAAGCGTTCAGTCAATGCTACACGGAGAAAGAAGGTGTTAATAAATCTAAAAAAAAGATATGTGATAGTGTTAGTAAGTAGATGGGTTTATTATGGGGTCGATTATATCAGCTAAATGGGGGCTTCACCACTGACGTCTAAGCCACTTGCTTATAGAAATTGTGCCGTGCTGGGTTTGTTTTGTTCTTTGCTTCCAAGCTTGATGCACCTGAGCGAGGTTCCTTTTCTAAGTACTGTCCGGTTGTTTGTGTGTTTAAAGCACTGGACTATGTACATATGTATGTACATGTATTAGGGCGGTCAAAAAAAAAAACTTAAGTTGGAATCTTAATTCTGTCACCCCCTCGGAATGTTCCATACCGGAATAAAGCAATATTATTTTAAAATCAATAAATATCCAAAAGTCGCTCAAAATTTAGGAAAGAAGTAAATTTTTCATAGAAATGATGTAGAATTGTTTTAAATTAATATTTTTTGATCGGAAAACTATTTCTCTTTAGGAGACTTCTAATAATAATACCCAACTTAACCATTTTTTAACCGTTTTCCAAAAAAGGAGGGGGCTATCAGTTATGTATATATGAGAATTGAAGTTGGGTTTTTTTGCTTAAAAATTACTTGTTACCTATAGAAAATCGCTGGTAATCAAAAATGGTAAAATAAACAATTGGGTGTTATTATTGGAGGTATCCTAAAGAGAAACAGAGTTTTCTGAACGAAATATTCTAATATTCATTAATTCGATACCATGTCCAAGAAAAATCTTTTTTCCCAAAATACATAATTTTATTCGGCACAGAATAATCGTGGGGCGAGCGCATTAAAATTCCGACTTTACATTTTCACATGCATTTTTGGACCTCCTTACTGTATATTCATACATACATAGATACGTACTTATTTGTTTTCTAAGTATTTCACGCTTTCGTTAATTGAGTTTCGCTTCAAAAGGCCACCGCCATTACCAGTTATTTGTGGGTGTGGGCATTCGACTCGATACTCCCTCAATGAGTTGTTCAAATTTATATTAAATCCGCATTTGTTTTTGTGTTTTTAGATTCTTTAGTCAATTGTTACGTGTAAAGGACGTTATGCATAATTAATTCTATTTGTTTATTTTCTGTTTCTTTTATTTTTCTCTTTTTCTACCCAAAGCTGCATTACGTCAACGAAAATTAGTAACGAGCCGCACAGCGACAACCAGCAACGAACATCAAACCACTCACTGAAACAGCTTTAATACAATGAAGCTCACACAGTAGACCGTACGGGCATGCATTAAGAAAAAAATAACAACATTTATAAAAAAAAAAATAGCAACCAAATAAAAACGAACGAATTGAAGTTATAACAATGGAGGAACGAACAATAAATGTGACGCGATAGCAGATGCGATGATGGTGGAGCTGGCACTGAAGTGGTTGGTTTAAGTCAGATTTGTTTGGCAGTTTATTTGTGCGGTTTTAAGCTTTTTGATAAAGAATCTTTTGTATTAAAAAATTTTAAAGTCAATTTTCTTTTGTTAAACACATGCACGATGAGTAATTTGTAGTAAGCATTTAATAAATAAGAAATTGTTTCCGAACAATCTGGTCGCAGACTCGCAAGCACTTATGCAAGCTAGTTAAAATGTACATACATACATATGTACATGTAAGTGTGTATTTATGCAATTCCACAGCTTGACTTAGGTTAGCTCAGCGCTTACATTAGCCCAGCACTTAAGATTGTGGCCGAAACTGCCAGCTACCAATGCTTATTTGCGAAACCCCGGTTTTCTATTTCTATACACTGAGTTAAAGATAGATCTATCTATCTATCTATCTATAATAGATATTTATGTATCTATGTATGCACATAATTGCAATCAAATTAGCACTCCGATTTTAGCAAACGTGGTGGCTGAGAGTTCTCATACACGCAGACACTGCACGCGCACAACAATACATATAGCCTGGCGTAGCAGAAAATTCACAATATTGCCAAACTGATAGTAATCTTTTGGCCTATAACCCATTTTTTGCGAAATTTTCTTATAGTTTTCACATAAAATTTCACATGTACTGAATTAACTAAATATCTACCTACTCGTATTTCAAAGTTTAACACATAAATTCTAACACTTCATCCACAATAGGCAAAAAACTCTACCTTCGAAAGTTTCTCAAAACGCGGCTCAACGTTCTTCTGTCTTAAGTACTTTTTAACCGTTCAACCAATCGGCTGGGCGAGCGTGAGAATTGGAACTGAGTTAATGCATTAGCTTACCAGCTAACAAAAGTAGCAGCGGCTTTCCAGTGAAGCAAGAAAAAAAAGCGCATACCAAGGTACACATACGCATACATACAAACCTCCATATATAGTACACACCCTGCAGGGAAAACTAAGTATACTACCAGTTCCCGCTAAACTAGTGCTGTCTTCTATCTTTCCTTTTACAACTAGTAGTATTTTCAACAAGACGAAACATCCCCAGTTAAACAAATGAGTGCCTTTTTTTCTTGCGGTGCTACAACAGTTACAATGGCTAAGGGACTAGAGCGCTGGTTTGTCAATTTGAGACATACGAGGCTGGAGTCCTCAGACAGGAGACATGTTTTAAATTTAATTTTTAATTTAATTAAGTTAATTATATGAAAAAGGACTGCGCCTAGACCATGATCCGAAAATGAAACTTCCGTCAATTCATTTCCAATCCAATGAATACTGCAAATGATTTGTATTACTTATTATATTAGCGCTAGTCGCATTTTCTCAAGTAGCTTTTGAAATTTTTACACCTACTTGAGAAAACGGTCTTAGTCTTAATTTTTTTATTCGTATTCGTCATTCTCGTGTCGTATTCGCATTCTTCTTCTCGCACTCGTCTTCATTTTTGTATTCGTATTAGTCTCAGCAATCGTTTTCGATTTCGTATTCGTCTTTGTATTAGGTTTTAAATTCGCACTCGAAATCGTGTTCGTCTTAGTATTCATGTTTCCATTCGATTTCGTTTTGAACTTTGTATGCTTTTTGCCTTCGTATTCATGTTCCTTCTCGTCCTCGTATTCTTCTTCACCTAAGGTCTTTGTATTCGCTTTCGTCTTTGTCTGCGCTTCTTTACGTCTTCGCTTTATTGTTCGTCTTCTTGTTCGTCTTTTTCGTCTTAGTCTTAATCTTAGCCATACTATTGGTCCTGGTTTTGGTATGAGTCGCCTTTTTACAATGCATTAATCCTTTGTCGGTACTACAACACATATCTTCCATACAAGTAACTGTTCAGATATGAAATTTTGCGTTGTAACTTCGACATTTAAGAACACACGATTTTGCACTACATTCACTTAAGATTAATAAAAAATTGACAGTAAAATTTATCAAGAACTGGTAATTAATTTTTTCTTTGAAAATTGAACAATAGTAATAAAAAGGGGCCAAATATTGTCTTATTGGTCAACCTCTTCATCAGCTTATACCAGGTATGGAATTAGTATTTTCTGCCAGTTGAAAAATTTACTGAAATTTAAGTTTACTGACCGGCTTGCGTTTTCACTGCTGGGTATTTACATATATATGTACATGCATAGCATAGCATACTCTCCAAGAGCGTCAATGTGTCAACTTCAAGTCCCACTGGTATTGGCGTGCCTTCCAAATAGCCACTGATTGTGAGTAAAAGCTTCTGAACACCTACTTTGCCGCCTGCTCGTCATGCAGTTTCACTTCCAATAAATAACAAAAAAGAAGCAACTTAATTCCGCCATAAAGTGTTCTCTCAATAACACATACATACATCAGTGCACGGACTTTACCACTTTATTGGTAGATCTACCAACTTTTTAGCTGTATTCTATTTTCTACCATTTTTACCAACAAAGGCAAAAAATCTACCGATATTTTCCGGGAAAAACAGAGATTTAAATGAACGCAGTGTATGCATAGTTTGTCATCGAACACACCTAAAATAAAAACAAAAAGTTAACTCTGAGCATAACCAATTTAAAAGTCAAATAGCATCTCAATCAGCTGTTTTTTTTTAATTTTTCGTTTGAAAAACATTTTTATTTAAGGCATTTTAAATGTAATTTTAATCAAAAAACTTTGAAGTGGAGATATGTAATTGTTTGAGCTTGTTTTTAAATTAACACAGGGCTTGAATTACGGCATCCGTGATGGAATTAAATTCGAATCGAAAATAGTTTTGAGATAATCTCAATGAAATTACGGTATTAGGTAGCGAGCTCGCTTTTTCAATTCAAAATGACTTTTAACAAACAGGTTCTCTCGAGAGAGGTCATTTTCTCTTCAAAACTGTAATTCATTGAGTTGTCCAATGATATTTTTATGTTTAGTCATTAATAGGGGTAGTTCAAGATGATATCTTAATGACAGTTAAATAAAAATGTGAAATTTTTAAATGCAAGTTCCTTATAATTCCAACCTACAGAAAGCACAGAGATTGTTTGTCAAAAGTCCACAGATTTTATTTCATTCGATTCAAGTGGAGTTTTTTTCGATCACGGGTGCCATAATTCGGGCCCAGTGTTATATATATGTTTTTGTTGAAAATGAAATTTTATAATAAACTACAATTATTCCAGGAGTACAGAAACAAAAATTACAAAAAACCACGCATAATTACAGTAAGAATTACACAGATGCATCATTTTGACATTAAGAACCACCGAGGCGAAAATTCAGCTGCTCCGATAACACCACCTTATTTATTTTACCTTTTACCATTTTTTGTATCTAAAATCTACCAATATTAATTTTTTCGAAGTCCGTTCACTGACATACATACTCACTTCCGTCGTTTGCTTATTTGTTTTCCGACTACCACAATAGGCGCTCTTTTCCAGCGCCACTTACAGTTGTAGTAGTGCTCTTTACTGTTATGTTTTCTGTCATCTCTTTCTTTATGGGAGCCATAAAGAGGGGCACAGCTGTTGTGACAACTTTAGTTTGGAACCATATGTAGCTAGACTGTTTACTCCACCGTTGTCTTTGTTCTTGTAGGCGGTTTGTTGGGGTTGACTTGTACGCCGTAAATTAGCTTGTTTTCTTTTGCTTGAACTGATTAAAAATGCAGCGCTTGTTGGTTGAAGCTTTAGTGAGCTTTTGACTATTGCGCAGGTACTGTACTTTTGTGTTGGTCTCCGCTTGTGAGGCACTGTTTGAGAAGATTTACCACAGAAATTAGTTAAGAAACAGCGGTTTGACAGCCGCTGAAGCTTTGAACTGGTCGAGAAATGCGTAAAGTTTCTAAAATACTAAAATACCAACAAGGCGCACAATTCTTCTACCTTCTATCTATTCTTCTATCTAGAAAGTTTATAGACTTTGCGCGTTCTCTTACGGCCTTCAAATGGAAAACTTTATTAAACGAATAAATACCTACATTTCAACATTGCCAATTGGCTTCTTCTACCAATTTTGTACATACATACATACATATATAAGGTATGGTGGTAGGGTAGTATTATTCCAGTCTAGGTTAAGTCCTTAGAAGATTTCGTTGCACCTCTTTCCCATTGCGAGAAAGACTATGTTGCTGGCAAAGCGTCTAAATTTATCCGTTTCGAGATTCTGTGGATCCCGGCAGCTCACAAGTCCAAAAGTGTCCATCATAAATTGTCTCTAATAGACCGACCAAATGAGATTTTGCATATCACCAACCCAACGGTATCCGCCCCACATCCAAGGGTAGTGTCGATCAAATTATTGGAACTTGTCTTCGGATCCATTGTGTACACTTTTGTGAAAGCTAAAAAATTATCGACCATACTATTTAGAGGAGAGCGGTCATCACTGCGGTTAGCACTGAAGTATCGAGGTTTATTCACTGTATAAAATGTATATAGGTAAGACGTACCTCGGAGACTAATATGGTTACGACGCAGGCAGACTCATCTCCTGCTCCTTGATATTTTATTCAAAGGGTCTTTAGAAATTTTCGAAGCGCTGAGCTGATTTGCTTCATGAAAGCTTTTCTACTTCCTGTTTATATGATAATAATTATTTGCCACTAATTGCCCCTCCACTTTGCGAAGTTTCGGTCTTACCAACAGAGACATGTCTTCTTCATTTGGTCCTTCTATTAAGTTCGTGGGCGTTTTCACTTTCCACCCAAATGTACCAAAACTAAATATCTTTTCACCGGAGTATCTTCGCCCTAGCCACCGAAAAAAATTCGAATGTTCAAAATTTCCCGAGTTTTGCAAGTTTATTTTTTGAATATCTCAAAAACTTATAGTTAGAGCTCAATGTTTCTTTACAAACGCCTTTAACTGATCTTAAAAAATCCTGAAGGTATGACTTTTTGAACTTAGAAAAAATTGTTTGGATCTTTTTTTTTCTAAATTAAACAAACAATTTTTAACACAACATTATTAAAGTTTGCACAAAAAAAAAAATTCCAGATCAGTTAGAGGTATTATGTAAAAAAAATGAACCCTAAAATTTATATCAAAAAGTTTTTGCCTGTACGATAATTTGAATATCGTAATTCTATAATTTTTTTATTTTTTCCGATTTTTGTTAAATATATATTTTTATTATTTTTTTTTAAATACGGTGAAATTCTGACATTT